AAAAGTGTGAAATGTCTAAACTGTTTGCTTTTTGTTTGGTATAATAAACTCAAAAGGAAGTGGCTGTTAAGATGCTTGATCATTCTGGTGTTCAAGGAGAAAGAGAGTTTATTGTAGAAGTCCTAATGCTGTCGCTCCTGCGCCACGAAAACCTCGTGAGGTTGATTGGTTATTGCGCTGAAGGCGATCAAAGACTCCTCGTCTATGAATATATGCCTCTTGGATCCGTAGAAGATCATATGCACAGTAACAAAACTAAACTTTATCCTCAAGAGGAAAATTCATTAAAGTTGAAATCTTGAAATGTGTTTTTCTTTTTGTTGGTCAGATAAAAAATGTAGTGGTCAAAAGGCTTTAGATTGGAGCACAAGGATGCAAATAGCTGCAGGAGCAGCTAAAGGTATAGAGCATCTTCACAATGTAGCAGATCCTCCTGTGATATTCAGAGATTTGAAGACGGCGAACATATTGTTAGATCATGGATTTAAACCAAAACTCTCGGATTTTGGACTTGCTAAGTTTGGTCCGACTGGTGATGTTACTCATGTCACTACTAAAGTTATGGGAACTCTCGGGTATTGCGCGCCAGATTATGCGAAAAGTGGGAAACTGACGATAAAATCCGATATCTATAGCTTTGGAGTTGTCATGTTGGAGCTTATCACTGGACGCAAAGCGATAATGGACTCATCCATGGGTCCAGATTGCTTTCTTGGGGATTGGGTAATGCTCTAAATCTCATTTTGCTTATTAAGACCATTTTTCCGGTTTGTTTTATGATGATCCTTTATCGGTTTTTTCCGTGTTTTAACAGGCAGTAGCATTGTTCAAGAAAGACAACATAAGGGAGATTGTTGATCCAGTGTTAACAATAAAAGGTCGTTACATGGAATCAACAATGAGAAAAGCTCTTGAAGTGGCGTTTATGTGTCTAAGAGAAGAAGCAAACGCTAGGCCAACGATCAGCGAAGTAGGTATCGCTCTAAATTACATAGTTAAGTGCACAACAAGCAAGAAGAAGAAAGCGCGCGCTGGAAGTGAACAG